TTTTTAATTTTTTATCAAAGAATAAAAGAGTGAATTAATGCATATTCCCTCCAAATATATATCTCTATAAATGTAAGAACATTGCAATCAATATCCTACAAGCAAACGGTTATTATTCTAGCATATTCCATGTTAGCTATTAATAGCTTTATCTTATGTCTATTGTTTAACCTCTTGAAATTTTTTACAACTCTTTTGTCTATATAAACTGAGCACTTCATCTTTGATCACGAAAGCTGCAGGTAATAGGAACTTTTCCCTTTTCGTGCGGAGAAGAGATTTAAAAATGCCTAACGCATCGTCACCATGTCGTCACAATATTGGTACGACCGGTTGGCACAGACTAAAAACAATCTTCCTCGTGTGTCAGACTGTTTCTACCCTGGAACATTATTTCAAATACTTCGAGATAGAATCCTTGTGTTGGTTAACCATTGAAAAATATTTTTCTTCGTTAGCCTACGTCTAGGCCTCGCTTAAGGGTATTTATTTGTCTTTTTTTCGAAATTAGTCATTTGCGAGATCTGTTTGAGGTGATAGAAATAAGATTCAGCAGGTTGCTGCGAACTGATGATCCAATTAACTTATATCTACTATATTGTTAAACAAAATCGACAATCAAAAAAATTGTATAAGATTGTACTCTTCAAAATTCCATAATCAGTTCTATGATATTATAACGAGTTTTTAACAAGTTTTTTGAAACAGAAATTCCTGTGCGTAGCTCTGGAGGTATTCAAAAGGTTCATGCAGTACTCTTTCTTACAATGGTGATGCTATTTATTATTGTATCAGAGCAATATCGATAAATAAATTATTATAAATTGAACATAAGTCTGCAATAATTTTATATATAAAAAATTCAGTAGAATATTAAGATTGAATCATAGTTGATGGTTAACACTTTTTGCAAATTAGTTTTTAATCAATTATATGGACACTCATCGACGACAGATTTTATTTTCAATAAAACGATATCTGCCCCGATGTTGAGTGAATAATCAATAAAACGTGAATTCTTTCCCTTATCGGTACCTTCGTATATAATAGCATGAACTAAAATTATATCAAATAATGAAACGAGACAAATATATATATAATATATAGTTTATTAAAATGACAGTACCGCATAAACATTCAGGTATATACACTCGTACTCTTTTATTGTTTCAACTTTGAAGTACACGAGATTTTCTTTCACAATTTGTATTGAATTATTTTTCTCAGTGTACTGTAAACTTGGAAGGAAACAAAAGCCTTGTGTCCTATGTCCATAACATTGTAAAAGTAGTTAATTTTGTTCATTCAACTAAAATTTTTTCTAATTCGCTTTTAATTATTTATTTACTGAAGTTTTTCTTTAAGTTTTGTGTCCAAATGCATTTAATCTTATCTCATTTTCTTAAAAGGATTTTAATTGTGCGAAAATCTCATTTGATGTGAGAGTAATTCAGACTTCAGCTAGCAGACTTACTTACAATATCTGCCAAGGGGCTTATTTGAATTTCTTACTTTTGTCAATTAGAAGATAAAAGTATTTCGTTTTTGTAAAACTAATGCTTTGAACTTCTGCTTATTTACTACTTTTAATTAAAAAAATTGTTTTTATAATATTGAAGGAAAAAGTAATTGTTTTGTAATTATAATGAAATTCACAGTTCTTGGACTAATTTGTGCACTCGAAATATTAAAATCTTCCAATCAGGCAAAATACACTTTGAAGATCAAATAATCCAAGTACACAAAAGATTAACATGACAAAATAAAAACATTTAATCAGGTCTATTTAATGTTCCAACTAAATTAACATCTAAATCTGCAAGTAACTAATTAAGTTAATTGTATATTGTTTGTATAACTGTATGTATATAGTTCCCTTATAACATAACTATACCATTGAATAATAATAAAACAAAAATTAAGCATAATTTTTTCTTATTTTAAACAAAATATCTAATTAAACTTAACATTAATACCAAGGTGCAGTCTAATTAATACAAATGCAGTCTATGTTTTCTTAGTTTCTTTTATATATATTATAACAATTCAATAAGATGGATGACACCATTGTATTAAAATGTTGTCTATATCTGAAAGATGAAAAAACTTCTAGTCATATTCTCTTTCTTTGATGACAGAGAACTAGGAGAGAGAAACGGGTCTTCAAATTCCCGTATGTAAATATGAAAATATTATATATCGGTGACAGCTGCGAACCAAAAATGTCAAAGTAAGGAACTATACATTCAAAACTGTGAAAGAATTTAAATATCATGAAGTGCTGGTAAACTATAACATGGAAATCAGTGATTGCATACAGAATAGACTCTTCGCTGCCAATAAAGCCTCCTATGCACATAAAAACGTACTCGCATGGTCACGGGTTTCCAAGTATGTTGTTTACAAAACCATAATTAGTCATACTCTAGTTTATGAGTTAAAATTTCCTCAGACCTGAAAACAATTATCCACAAAGACAAATGAGATTGTGTGTTCCGAAAAGCTATAGGGCGCCAGGCAGACCCTAGTAAATGTGGATCGTCTGGGAAGTAGATAACATACGAAAAGTACAAGTGCATAGCTGGCAGCAAATGCCAACGGACGGAATAGTATGGAATGACATCATACACTGTACACTGTACAAAAAGTCATTCGGTGATATAACAACTAGGGTGCGGATGAAACAAGGTGCAAATGTTTAATAGAGCTTAAGCTTATAGAGAGCTGTACAGCTATTCGAGGCTTTTGAGTAATATAAATTACTGAAAGAAATTGTTACGGTGTTATCTTCAAATGCAGCTTCTGTCTAGCAGGACATAATATTCTTTAGTATCGTAGTAATCTGCTTTCTTGGAAGTGTTAATTACTATTTTAAGTAATATCTAATATCATTTAACATTACTTAGAATGACATATGGAAAATATATTACATGCCCAAATGTATTAATATAAAATTAATTTATTCATTTATTTTTTTCGCCTTCATTCAACTAATTAAAAGGTGTCATCTGCTCTACAAATATTGGATTAAAATGTTTCATTTGCACTTTTATTACATATTTTTTAATTTGCAAAGTATATTTAAAGACATTATTGTATAAAAAATGTATTATATATATTAAAATATGCAAACAGCTTTTTGCAATTTTTTATTAATTAAAAACACACAAACTTTTTTATAGCTCAACGTTAAACAAAAAATGCATATGAAAACTGTCACAGATGAAAAATGAGAGATAAGCTACATTTACAAAATATAGGAAACCTTATATACAATATGTAACTATATGGATATATATCCGTATATATAGCTGCACCCACTTTATTTACATGGTTTGGTGTCAAAACTGAAAATTGAGTTGTTTGCTTGGCTGGCACAAAGTTGGCAAATGTCAGTATTGCACTTGAGTTCCGTAAAAACTTTCACATATACTTTTAATCCGGGCGACAGGATTTAACTTTTTACCCAATTTTGAAATAATATTTTGTACTTTTAACTTTTTTGGTATGCATGAGGCAGAAAATTACACAAATACTGCAATAATTGCATTTTATAATTGTTCGTTTGCAAATAAGAAATGAACCTTTTAGCTTTAAAATTTTGAGATTTGCTTAGCTTTAAAGCAAATGCATTTCACTATGCCGGAAAAGAGCAATATATTTCCATTAATATTATTTACATATATACAAATAATTTGTATATATATACACGAACTATAAATTATTTGCAAAAAGATTTTAGTTTTGTTCTAATTTCAAATTTAAAATATTGCAAGATTTGTCTTTAAAATAAAAAGTAAAGAAAAATAAAATTGTGAGTTGCTATTCCATTAAACTCTTCATATGAAATAAGGTCGGGTAGCTATATTTTTACACCAAAAAATAAAGATACTGTATTACAATAGGAAATTCAAGTTTATCCTACAATCCTATTTCCACTAATACTATGTTTAGTCCCAAAACTCCAGTTTTGTATTAAACATTGCAGAATTTATTTTGGAGTTATGGTTTCTTTTTCTGATATTCCTAATATCATTGAACACTAGAAATATTAAAAAAATTAAGTTTTGATAAATATCTTTTTTATATCTAGTAACTGAATGTCAGGACTATCTGAGTATTCCTGGTTCAGTAGGTAGGTAGGTAGTTATTCAGATTGGAGTAGCGGCCTTGTTTCCAAAAAGCCCGCTTGAGCTCAAATGATGACTCATTGTGGTACCAAGGGAAAAGCATTGGTACGTACATAAATTGAAATCAAAAAAAGGTTACGACTCTCCCATTAGGTAAAGGAAAACCAACCTGGCAGTGCTATAAATCTGGCTAGGTCCCTAATATTGTAGGATGACAGCTCAGTCAGGTCGGTGAGAAAGTGGGCCCCGAAGATTTTTGATCTTCTTCCAGTTAACAAAAAGCACAGTGCAGCAAAAAGAATTCAGAAGTAGATTCGACTGTTTTGTATTATATGGTAAGAGTTCTTATGACAAATAACTCCTTGTCACTATATACTATATATAGAATTAGACTGTTTCAAAGCCTAATACTTAAGGCCTTTAATTAATACAATAGCCTAATGATTTTTTGTGAGAATACCATCTTATAATTAAACACCATTTTCAAAGAACTCTATTTCGTGTTCAATTTAATTTGTCAACCTTAATTTATACAACTCCTTGCAGTGAAGCTTTTGCAACTCAGTTTCCATTAATGTGTTGAAGATTGTAGATACTCTTTCAAATCCCTTTAAGTGTCTTAAAGAAGTCTTAAACGCTATTCTCCTCAAGTTAAGACATTACGTGTTCGATCAATGTACTTTTAAACGAAATTACATCGTATTATATAACTTGATAACTTATAAGTACTAATTTTTCTTTTGATTTATTATATGTTTATATGTACGTACTTTTACAATAATAATAATTTACATATATTAATTCAGGAATAATCTGCTATAAGGGCTATGCATGTACTGAAGAATTTTTTTGCTTTTTTACATTCCTTACTATTCACAAAGAATTCTTCAGGACATTCCTGCATTCCATAAATTCGAACACATGTAGTTATTTGTAACGCAAATGGGCGGCAGTTCTCGGTAACAACATCGACGTCAGGGAACCTGATATCTAATCGATTTGCATGTCCTTTGCCTAAAGTAAGGAGAAAGAAAAGATACAATACTCATCTACTTTAAAAACTAAATTATTCGCATATAACATAAAAACTGAAATTATGTATGTCAAATTTTAATAAACCCCTCAGTTTATCCAAGATTATCATGCATAATTTGTTTTTGCCTTCTTTGAGAATCTTGATCAACTTCAAGACCTAACACTAAACAGCATTTCATGTTTCGCCGAAAGTTCCAGGTGGAACTTATAAAGACTTTAGATGCACGGGCTAATAAAACTAAGTGGTAATCCTTTGGATCATCGGTACAATCTAACGTATTATTCATAATATCCTTTTATTATCCATATTATTATGCTATACTTTTATATATAGCAACAACAAATATTAACCAATTTTTGAAGATAGTTTAGGAATAAATTTTAATCACGAATTACTGATTTCGGTTTACGCATCATCTCTATGAAAATTGTAAAATTGTAATGTAATTGTAAGAAATTGTAAATGGAACAAGATGAACTATACATCTACATCTTTCATCTATTATCACTATTATAATACTCAAACATAATTACATCGTTATTATTACCGCGCATCAATTAGGAAGTGAATAGGCTTTTAGTATGTTATGTTTTGGTGCACAATAGATCGCAGTGCAAAAAGGTCTTAGCCTGACCCATAAACCATATTGTGTTATACTTGGCAGACATCAGGGATAAAACGTGGGTATGGTACAGTCTTGACGAATGACTACAGTTTATCTGTTGTACTGGTAGTAAAATTTTTTAATAATACAAGCACAGGTATTTAAAAGTAAGAGAATATTAATTTTATATTGAAGACTATATTTTATACCACATTGTAAATAAAAATAATTTTTTTATATATGTAATAGGTTTAATTACTACAGATATATGAAAACGATTAATTATTACTGTTTCTTTATTTCTATTTCTTTAATTTTTTCCTAAAGTTCTGTTTTGTCTAATTAAATGCAATACATAATATTTTATTATTAGTTCTAAAAGTTTTTGAAAAAAAATAAATACTTTTTATTTAAATAGTTTTTTTTGTTTAATTTGGTAAAAATATTTATTCTACTCTTAACAAAACTATTTACTTTTTATCTAATCTAAGAGTACATAATTACTCTATTAAGGAAAGAAAAGTATTTAGTTCTCTTTGCAGGTATTTCAGTGACCTTTTTGATGTTCTGATCTATTATGATTGACTTCTTTCAAAACACAATATCGTTTAGCAAATAATTGATGTTTTGTAAGAAATATTTTTTAATAAAATACATATAATCACAATTTTTTACTTACGGAATTCAAAACAACTTTTGAACGCAGTATTAATGAATTTAATAGAGTTTTCCTTTGGTTGCGGTGCAAATTTATCCAAATTATCGTTAATATTGTCGAAATCTAATGCAAAGGGTGGATCAGCGTTAGTATAGCCATTGCCTATAAAGTTACACTCCTCAGCACACTTAAAAGAGTGTTAAAAAAGTAATTAAATTAAATATAATTAATCAAAGAAAAATATTAATTAACATATTAATTAACATATATTTCCATTATGTGCTGATTATTTAATTTTTAAATATGAACTATATGTCCTATAAGAAGCTTATTTACAACTTAGACTTGACGATTGGTAAAATGTTCATTAATGTTCAAAGAATAGTATTGAAATCTGAAAAAACAACAATCTACAGTAATTAGGTTAACTTATACGAATATAACAGTGGTTTACGCGTTTGTTTTATTATAATAGCACAGAAATTATTCAAATTTTCTTAAAGTATCTATTTACAACTCTTTAATTGAGTCCTACTTGATTTGGACTCGAAGATGATTACTGGGATAGAAGTACCTACCCTCTCCTGATATCAAGCGTTAATCAATAGCTGATGTTTTGATCTTCATTCAAAAGGCACAGTGTTTTCTGATTAGTTATTACCGGATATTTGCACAAGATTACCAAACATTGCCACTTTGCACCATTCTTTTATAAGTGATTGATTGCACCTTGTTTATTCTTATATTTCTATTTATCTGGGCCTGTCATATTTGCACACTCCTATTATTTGTATATTACCTTTTATCATGTTCATTTTTATTATATTAATATTTTTAACCTTGTTTTATTTCTTCATCTATAACTCTCAACATTATATTTTAATTCTCACCTTAAGACTATGCCGTTAACTTATATCTCTAATAATCCGTTCATTCTCAATTATATTTTTTCACTCGCTATATTATATTATACTATGTATAATATATATTATATTATTTAATCATATCATCCATACCTGAATCACTCCATTACCCTCATGTTTAGGCTGTACTTACTATATTTAGAGCAGTTTGTTCAGTGCTGGTAAAATGTTTTTTGTCAGTTTTCGATAGCAAATCATCGAGGCATTCCTTATAACTTGGATCCAGAGTAGGGCGAGTCAATATGCAGCACGTCGAAGCTAAGTTCTTAAGAAAGTTTCAGAAATAAGTCCTTTTTCAGAATTTAAATAAAATTATTCTACTTACCGCTTCAACCCGACTCAATTTTTGACAATCTTCTACTGCCTCTTCAGCTAGAGAAAACTGTTAATAAATGATAAATGAAATTAGAAAACTGTTAATAAATGATAAATGAAATTAATGAAATACTGTTGTTATTTTAATTATTATAATAATTTATTTGTATAAATTAATATTCATATTAATTTTATTTATAATATTTCTGTTATAGACTAAAAAACTTGCCCCAGTATAAATTATAAGGGTAAAATAAACCACGTAGTGGCAACTAAACATTTTTGAATCTGACTGAAAAATATTATTTTTTTAAATATTTTAATATTTTCTAGGTTCTTTTTTTCGGAAATATTAATTTAAAAGCACCGCATAAAAAGTTTTTTTCCATCTCATTAATTTTGAATTTAATTTAATTAATTTTCTAATTGAGTTGTTCCAAACTTCGCCAGATTATGAATTTTTAAACTAAATATTTTTTGTGGGTTGTTTTTTTATACATATGGATATATATACTATATGTATATTGGTATGTCCATATGTATATGTGTAAGCATAAAATAAAAATACTTTTAATGAGTTCAAATCGTTTAATTTTATAAAATATTTTATAAAACTGTTCAGAATAAAAAAATCAAAATTTAGGCGTATCTGAGTGATTTTTTCATACTAAGGTGTAGAAAAATAAATTAAAAACTTAGTTGTGAAATAGTTGAAAAATTGGAGTAAAAAACGTAGTATAGTAGTAGATTTGAGATAGAATAAAAATAGTAGTAGAGCAACAATAAGAGCTGAAAGTTACTATAAAGCAGTGTCAGAAGAGCATGTTCATTAGATCAGTAACAATTGTGCCATAACGTAATATTAATGGGAAAATAATAATGTGGTTATAGAGCTTTGATTTACGTTAAGGGAAAAGGATCACAAAAATAAGTGTAAATGTAGCAACCAACTCTGGAAAATCATCTCTGTAATTTCGCAGTGAATAAATTTAACTAATATTCATAATATAGCCTGGTGTTCATTTTAAATACTCTATGTATACGCTACTGACTTGACATTCAATCACTAAACCCCCTAAACCCTTTTTGCTGCACTTTCAGAAAGGATGTCCTAAAGCAGGGATCAGTATACATATATGTATGCATTCTACATACATGATCGAAAGGAAGCAAATTTTTTAATATTGGGCTTCTTAAATCTGGCAAATCTAGATTTTTCCATTGGTAGTACCATCATTCAATTTTGCATCAAATTTCGTGTCAATAACTGAATTTACCCAATAGTTCCACATACGTTTTGGAACAAATGAGTGATTTTGACAATACTGAGACTTTTACTAAGAAAAAGAGGTCATTAAATTTTAAGCGAGAGTGTTGCATAGTAAAGAAATTAAGGATTTAGTGTTCAAAAATCGTCGATCGATAATAATAGGCCTTGCTAATACTATTAACATTTTAATGGAATCACTTCACAGAATTTTAAAAGATATTTGTTCTCTGAAATTAGTAAATCTCTTACGGTGTCATAAGCACTCAATGTGATGAAATAACGTTACGTTAAATTCTGTCAATCAATACTTTCTCACTCACAAAATAATACAAAGTACCTAACAACAGAAGGTGAGACTAAGATAACTTCATTCACACAAATGATCTGGGAACAACCAACCAATCAAACGATTGTTACGCAAAAATTGACCCAAGATCGAAAAAGTCATGATCGAAAAAGTTTACTTCAAATACCGTGATATGGTGCATTATGATTTCGTATTGCGGTCTCAGCCATTGATAAGGAATTATATTTGAATGTTATTCAAAATTTATTTAAAGCTTTTTGCAAAAGAAAACCAGAACTCTGTAACTTATTTTGTGATTACAGTGTTGTATATTTCTTGCATCTTTCTTAATTGGCAGCTTCTATTGATACACTTAAAATCTTCTTAATCCATCTAAACTAACTAGGTAACACTAAGTCAAGTTCACAATTCTTATTATTCTTTATATATTGGACACCTAAATAGAAGATGGAAAAATTCAGAAATCTGCAGATATCTGTAGATAAGTTAAATAAAAAAAATACTTAATAAAATACTTCGTACACCCTCGTTAATGTCGACTACGAGGTTCGATGTTTCCAAAAAAGATTGTTGTGCGAAAGATGGAGACGCCCTTCACATCTCTTCTGTCTTTATTCAGAGCGTGTGTAACATGGACTAACATGCTAGAGACTCGGTTTTAAGAGGAACTTTATCAGCAAGAAGACTATTATGCTCATTTATGAGCATTATAAAATTTATTGTATGATTGATAAAGCTTATATTTTTGAGTCATATATGACATTAATGGATTCAATGTTCTCTTACTTAATATAATCCTCCTACAACTTGCAATAAAAAGAAATTGTAGTAAAAATGCTTGAAAGCTCGTGATATTTAAAGTTTATAATTCTGTTTCTCTTAGCCAAGCTTTATAAAGTTCTTATGTGTAATCTTTCTAAACAGAGCATTTATAAGGTTTTCTGCGTATTCTGTTTAATATTCATAGTCGTGATTGTTAGAGTTTTTTTATCTTATGTGCCCTTTTTATTGCCACAGTTATATGTGACCTTCTAAATTACAAAGCTTTATCTTCTCCACTAAATAGATTATGTATTGTATATCAAAACTGAGGTTAGTATGCGAAATATTTTGCAAGTATAGGCAGCACACAAACCTTAACTAAGTTACTCAACTAAATTATAATAAGTACATAATGAAGTAAAGTATTTAACTCAATAACTATGAGAATATTTTTTATTCAAAGATATTGCCTAACACGAAAACAGGATTTACCTGCCAGTTCATTAAGACTTCATATCTGGTAAGATTATTTTAAGTTAATAGCACCGAAGGCACTCATCTTTAAAGTATTTGATTAAAACTCATATATATATTAATTCAAAGAGAAATTTAATTATCACACTTCCGAAATATTTCAACTAACACTAACAGACAAAAACATGTCCTGGTTGATATTTTCAGCCAATTCTGAAATCCTTTGCAAATTCCTGATTGCATGGCTTAGTTAATGGCGGTTTCATATCATTCTTGAGCACATTTTCTACGTGCTTCGAACATGTGCCGTAGACTGGCATTTATGATTTTGTACGTGTCTGTAAGTAACTGTAAGTGTGAATCTATATCTTTCTTACATATGGCTTGCTGATAATTTTAGCAAAACATTCTAGGCATATCATGCGATTTATATAAGCCACGCAATGCTGGCACATTGCTAAATGCTTTGTTTTTGTATCTGGAAATGTCTTTATTTAACTCGTGTTAAATATCTGCTCGCTCTTTAGCTCTGTGCCTAAGGTTTCTAAGACAACAAGTACTTCTCTATAATACGTAAGTGTTGAGATGCTTCACGAAATGCTACCACAACACAATTGCTTATAATTAATAAAGTAACAATGTCTGTTTGTTTGGTTGTTTGGTGAAAAGGAATCATGGCAACTACAATCAAAATTTACACGAGTGAACTCAAATTCACTATGGAGAAATCTCAGAATAGTATCTCAAATGTATTCATTATAACAAAAGCAGTTTATATTACCTAATGATTTATTTAAATTACTAAACTCTTAATAATTTATCTTATGAAAAAATGCTGAACCGCGGCAGTGGCTCATTAATTGTCACTGTAATCTTTTCTTGTTTCAAACTGAAATATTTCTGTGCAAATTAATTGTTATTGCAGGAATTTGTCACGTTTACGTGTGTTCATTTGTAATTACATATTTAATTATGACAGTAGATATACACTCCAAGTGTGAGCACTCCACTACAGAGCACATAAATTAATTTTTATACTCAACTTGTGCAGATACACCCACATAAAATTATTTAAAGCATTCTTTTAGGCTTGAAGTAATTATAAGCATAATTCTGGGCAATATTTTACTTCCTGTAGCAGAAATAAATTTTCGTGTTAATAAACTTCCTGCTCTCCTCTTGCAGGTACAATGTACCTGGTACCTTGTACAAGTGTCCTGATATGTATAAATTTGCATGTATTTATGTAAATAAATGAAAGTTGCGTGTTTTTTAACTGTTTTCCCACCTTGGAACGCCTTTCTTTAGCACTTCGCTTTGGTTTCGCATTGTCAAATGTGCAATTAAAACAGTTTTGATTTGATTGAGGGTACGCAATTTTTTATTATGGCCTTCTCTGATCTACAAGTGTTTATAGCAATGGTAGGCATATATTACATTTCTTCGTATTAAATAATATATGAGTTTATAGTAAGAATATATCAGGGTATATTTAGCTTGTGGTAATAACCTTTAAAATTACTGTTAATCATAAATTATGAGGTTTATATTTGGTACTTAAAATATAAATAAAAGCTATGAGCTGATGTAAGATTATTTTTTATATTGTCACTTTTTTTAATAAAATTAGGAATCATGATTATAGTTAATTAAGGCTATCTAACCAATAAAAACCACTATAATTTTCACACACGTTGAACAAAAATCAATAAAATTAACACCAAAAAAAAGGATATACGTTATAATCTAATTTTTGGCATTTGTGGACCTTCACGAAATTAAGAAGAGCATCTTATCAATTATCTCAAAAAATTAGGAATTTCATTTTATATGACAATATAAATGAAACGACAAATAGTCAAACTGACGATAATGGCTAAATTATTCCACTTATGGTGCACTTAGCGTTTAAACCCTTTATTACTCGCATGTGATATAAAAAGTATCTTGTTTTTTTTGAAACATTTTTAAACAAAAAATGTCTTTAATAAAAGTTAGTTTTAATTGATCATTAGTATTTATAATAGTTTATCATTTTCGGATATCTTTACAATACCTTCGCTGTAGAACTTCTGTGGTTTCTCAGCAAAAAACTTGATCAAGTGTTTTTCACTGGCTATTGGACTACCAATTTGTTACTATTAAGACAGTTTTGCAGAGATAAAAACAAACGATATATGCATCAAAACTTTCAAAGATATGTGTGGGCTGGCATTGTCATCTTTCATTCAAGCGGTCGAATTTTGAGAAGAAG